AATTTCTTCATAGTTAGTGAACGCTATTTTAACGAAATTCTTGTGCGACAGACAATGAAAATTTTCTTTTAATATTTAATCAAATACATGAGAAAAACTCGCAACCATAGTTATAATCGGTTAAATACGTTTTCATAAGTCTTTGATGCGTATAGGTATTTGTTAAATTAAACTTAAAACATATTAAACAATTTAAGTATTTAAACCTGAGTAACGCTGGATAACCTTGCCAGTTATTATATAAATAAAAGATAAAATAAACATAATTTGATGGAGTACCGTTTAACGAAAATAAAAATTTAAAATATTGACAGATTTATTAACGTAATGCAAAGATGATAACGTCAGTTAAAGCAATAATGGCGATGATGACGCTGGCAGAGTTGACAATAGCATAAATAATACAATTTAAAAATTAATTGCAAAAACATTTGCCAAAATTCTTTTTCTTTTTTCTTTTTGGTTAATTCCTGAAGCGAATTTTGCACAGCCTCTTTTCTTATCTCAAAAGACGACCATTTATTTGTTCGTTTACATACGGATTTTTTTTTTCATTCATTTTTTTTTCTTTTCCTTCAAAGGTTGCTTTTCTTTTTGCGTCAATGCGCACGCGCACACGCTCCCACCCTCTGTCATTCTTTCATTCTTTTTCTCCTTCCTTCCCGACCTCCTTGCACGCATGCGTACTCGCATGCACATACTCTAACGCGTAAGCGGCTCTTTTCTTTTTACGAGATGATGTTGATTGCGAAAGATGTTGAAAAAGGGATTTCACCAGTGTGACAAAGAAACAATTAACCTCAGAAGAAAGAAAGCGAGACAAATAGACAAAAGAGAAAAAAAAATAAGAGAAAGAAACATGGCAGTATTATATATATATATATATATATATATATATATATAAACACGTACAGTTCGTGTCGGATTTTCCACGAATAAATCCCTTCAAAAAATGAAAAAAAAAAAAAGGAAAGGAAAAGATAACAAAAAAGGGAAAGAGAAGGAAATAAAATAAAAATGGAAATTAATTGTAACACACATATATATTTTTTTGTTCTTAGTCAAGATAGGTGGCGCTGGAGTCAAATCTAAGGAAAGACAAATGCAATAATAAATATGCAATATAATGTGTATGATAACAACTGTAAAAATCAGTCGTGTGTGTAAGTAACAAAAAGGATTGGAGAATCTCGAGAAAATAAAATAAGAACAATATTGAAAGAATTTAAGACGTGGGGGCGAAGAAAAACGACAGAAAGAAAGAGAAACTAAACAAACGCTACTTGTGAAAAATCAAATGGGTCCCCCGCGTCGTCATCTCGTAATAGAGAACATAATGAACTTAGATAAAAAGGAACAATAGAGTTAATGCAAGACGGATAAAGAAGCTGCAGGAAAATTGATCATATTCGAGGTCATTTGGTCTTTTGTTTGACATTTTTTTCTTTCTTCTTCTGCCTTTTATGTTAGCTTAGAAAAATGGCGGCATTTCTATGCTAGATTATACAGCATGTGTTGAAGACGACACGCGTATACTGAAGCTTAAAGGCGGTAACGATTACTATGAGCTATTGACGAGATAACAGAATTGAGTTTTGTGTGTTTGTCTAGTGAGAAGTATTGAAGTATTATTGAAATGTGGAAAAACAACAAAAGAAGCCTTCTTTTCTTGAACAAGATATTTAAATTGTTCAGTAATAGTGTTTGTTTTTTAACTTAAGCAAACTATCAACGATTTGTTGAAAGAGTTAGTGCACTTTCAAAATGTTTGGATGATTGCATCAAACGGTCAAGAGATAATATATATACATACATACATATGTATGTATCTATATATATATATATATATATATATATATATATATATATATATATATATAAAGCATTGCATATATGCGTGTGTCTTGGTTTTGATAATTTATAATTCTTATTGCGATACAAGGCCAGGAGAGGTTTGGCTGGTTGCTTTGCGATAATTTTTCAGTTGAGAAGGACTTTTATTTAACACATTAAAATATTTAAAATATTTTCTTTTTTTTCACCGAGATCGAACAGCGATCCCTGGCATTAATAGGAAATATGAGAATATTTCAATTGACACACCAAGGAGACACTGATTCAATAAAAAATACTTTTGTTTAATCTACTTAGTAAAGCGTCGATTTAAAGAACTAACTGGGTTGGAGTTAGTACAGTAAATCCAGTAAAGTAATCATTTATTAAAAAAAAGTACCAAAATTTAACTGAAAGCCACAGAGAATAATCGTTTTCAATAAGGAAACGGTTTCGGCTACGTATTAAAGAATCCAAAACATAAAGATAGATCTCTCTCTCTTTTCTCTCTCTCTCCCTCTATCTCTCTCTCTCACACACACAGAAAAATTCACACACGCTATTGCCAAGTAGTTTGATTTGTGATTTGTAGTGAAAACTATTTTTATAATTTGAAATCGGAAAGATTTTTCATTTTAAAGCTAACATGTCTGACATGTACTTAGTAACATAACTCGGACTAGATGAAGGATTTATCTCTCATCAGTAATAGTAGAAAAACAATTTATGTGATTCATGAGTAGTTCTTAAAATAAAATATGCCCTAAATCCATTATTCCTTAAATCCATTAACCTCAAATTCCAATATTCCCAAAATCCAATTTTTCTTAAAGCCATTAACCTTTTAACCCAATATTCCCTAAATTCAAAATTCATTAAATCAAATATTCTTTTAATCCAATATTCCCTAAATCCAATATGAATTAAACCCACTATTCCATAAATCTGAAATCCCTTAAATGCAATATGCTTTAAATACAATATTCCTTAAATCCAATATCCCTTAAATCATATATATTTTAAATCCAATATTACCTAAATCCAGTATTCCTTAAACCCAATATTCCATAAATCCGATATTGCTTAAATGCAATGTTCCTTAAATCGAATATCCTTTAGCTCCACGATTCCCTAAATCCTATATTCGTTTAATCAACTATTCCATAAATCCGAAATTTCTTAAATCCACTATCCTTTAAATCTAATATTCCTTAAATCCAATATTACTTAAATCCAATAACCTTTTAATACAATATTCCCTAAATCCAGTATTCCTTAGACACAATATTCCTTAAATCCAATATTCATTAAATGAAATATCCGTTAAATCCAATATTCCTTAAATCCAATATTTCTTAAATCGAAGTTTTTCTGTAATAGTTCTTTGTTAGTACTAATGTTCAATTGTCACCCGTTTTTTTTTTTCTCCAGGATTCGAACCTAGTTTCTGCCGGATAACCATTATTTCGTAAATAAAATGATTTCATCTTTATGTCTTAGAAACTTTTATTATAGTATTAACTGGTAATGCAAAGGCAAAAAAAAAAAAAAAGCAATGGCGAGAAGAACGGGGAAAATCAAGAGATAAAGGAGAGCTAAAAAAGACAAGAATAATAGGGAAGAACAAAAAGAAAAGAAGAGGACTGAAAAATAAAAGTATATGCATATAGGCAGAGGAGGAAACAATGAAGACGAAAGAAAGATAATAAGAAACGGTGTACTGGAATGTCTACATCCATTTTGACGGATACTTTGGTTTTCGTATACGGTAACATGCCCTGGTAGGTTTCAATTCTAACGTCTCCGAAAAAAACTTCATTTTCATCTACTGGAGATTGTATTTACACCATTCATCTGTATGGTGAAAATGAAAGTTTTTCACAGTTCTCATACAAACACCATTCCTAACAAATCATTTAATTTGCATTTAAATAATAATAACAAAATTTCACGATTTCCTATTTGCATTTTCTGATGTATGAATAAATAGGTTGATTGATAGTGCATCGACTACAAAATACCTTATTGCATCGTTAACATCTTTAATGAAATATTGCAAAAACAGTCATAAACATGAATACAGGTCATTATTAAAAATTTCTTTCAAGTAAGAAGGTACAAATGAAAAGATTTAAAATTGATAATTTTTTCCATTTCACTGAAGCAGACATTAAACATACGAGAGAATTATCGCCTACGTTATCTTCTTTTTCCCTTCTTTCTTTTTCTGGTTGAAACCAAACAGCGTCTTTAATATTCTAATATTTATTTTCTTTTTTTCTTCGCAGGACCTTTCTTTCTTTCTTTCTTTCTTTCTTTTTCGCACTCAAACCAATCAGCGTCTCTGATATATCTTTTCCGTCTTTCGTTGCAGTCAAAACGGAATAGTCCATTATTTATGAGATATTTACGTGCTCAGCAAATGACAAACAAATTAACTAAAGAGCAAGTATAATAATAATAATAATAATAATAATAATAAATGTAAAAAATGTCGCATATAAAGACATCAATAATACAATTGTATTTCGAGTCCTCAGATTGATTGAAAACGTTTCCGAAAGACTCATTGAAGGGATGCCTGGTAGCCCAAACCTTAAAGAAATACAAAAGATTGTACTCACAAGTACAGCCCACACACCTTACGAAGAGATTTATCTATGTAAAATGTGTGCGATCACACGTTGTCTTTTAAATTCTTTTTTTTTTACAAAAATAATTAGTGGAAAATATCATGAAGCCATTTCTGACCTTAGATCTCTGCTTGGGACCCGGGAGGAAATGTGTATACAACAGAAATTAAAGTGAATAATAATAATAATAATAATCGTTCAGGCATAATGATCGGAGACAGCAAAAACAGAAAGTGCTTTCTTATCAACATGTTAGTTCTAGCAAACTGTAATGTATCTTTGATTGATTGGTTCGTTTTTACGGTTTATCAACCTTTGTAGGTTATTTAAAGCCAGAAAGTAGTTTTAGATTGTGGGAGTTTTATTCGATGTAATAATGATTTGGGGATATAAGTCTTACTAATTAACGCATAGGTGGGGGTAGGAGAGGTGGATTCATACTTTTCTCATGGGACATTTGTGCGTAAGTGAACGAACCAAACGGGAATTCGAACTCGGTTCTCCCATTAACAATTCCGAGCCGTCGCCGCTTAGAGCACCTGTTATTTCCAAGCAGTCATCCATCTAGGTACTGACCAGGCTCAACGTTGCTTAACTTAGGTGATCGTACGGGAACCGGTGTTCCAACGGTATATGGTTGTAAGCCCATGTATTTTTGATGATCTTTAAAAAATACAAAGATCTTCAAGTAGAAATCTTAAAAATGTGTCACATGAGGATATCATTATTTCCAATCCCTTTGTCAACATCATTCCGAGATCCCTGGCAGCCTAAATCTTAAAGAAATTAAAAAAAAATCTGTACTCACAAGTACAACTCACATATATTACGAAGAGCTTTATCTATGTAAAATGTATGTGATCTAGTTTTTTTTTTAATATTTTTAAATGATTAGTGGAATATTTTATTAAGCTATTTCTAACCTTAGGCTTCTGGTTGGGAACCGGAAGGAAATAAGTATACAGCAAAAAGCCAAGTAAATAATAATAATAATAATAATATTAATTAATAATTATAATAAATAATAATAATTATAATAAATAATAATAATTATAATAAATAATAATAATTAATAATTATAATAAATAATAATAATAACAATAATAATAATAATAAATAATAATAATTAATAATATAATAAATAATAATAATAATAATAAATAATAATAATAAAATAAATAATAATAATAATTAATAATTATAATAAATAATAATAATAATAATAATAATAAATAATAATAATATATAATAATAATAATAATAAATAATAATAATAATAATATTAATTAATAATAATAAATAATAATAAATAATAATAATAGTAATAATAATAATATTAATTAATAATAATAAATAATAATAATTAATAATAAATAATAATAATAATAATTAATAATAATAATAATTAATTTTATCCTTGCTGCACAGGACCAATGCTTGCTAACTAGGAATTATCAAGCACATATACTAAAATATTGTGTCAGCCCAAAATGCAGATTCTGTGATAAATATCCAGAAACGATTGATCATCTTATATCAGGTTGCACGATATTGGCACCCACTGAATATAAAACCCGGCATGACAAAGTGGGCCAATATCTGCATTGGAAAATCTGCAACTTCTACGGGAAGAAAACTGAAAGAAACTGGTATGAACACCACCCAGACCCGGTTACGGAGATAGGACCTGTTACAATTCTATGGGATTACACAATACACACTGACAGAACAATCAAAGCCAACCACTTGAATATTGTTATTAAAGACCACAAACAAAAACGGTGCCTCCTTATTGATATGGCAGTCCCTGCAGACTGCAATGTATCTTTGAAGATATTTAAAAAGCTGTCAAAATACAAGGACCTTGAAATAGAAATCTCGAAAATGTGGCATATAGGAACATCAACAATCCCTGTTGTAGTTGGAGTTCTAGAACCGGTTGGAAAAGATTGCAGTAGACTAATTGAAGGGATTCCTGGAAGTCCATGCCTCAAGGAGATAGACAATTGTTCTGACAAGTACAGCCCACACTTTACGAAGGGCTTTATCTATGTAATTTTTTATTTATTTATTTATTTTTGTTAGTGGAAAGTGTCATGATGCCATTTCTAACCTTAGGTCCCTGGGCAGGACCCGGAAAGTAATGTGTAAACACCAGAAATCAAAGAAAATAAAAATAATAATAGTAATAATAATAATTGTTGCCATTGGGTCTTTGAGAATGATATCGGTAAGAGCAAACAATAGGTGGATCAAATTCCCGGAAGCAGTAAAATATGTGAATTGCCAAAAAAAAAAAAATCATACTAAAACCAGAATGTGTTTTCTTATTGACATGGCAGTGCCTGCAAATTGTAATATATCGTTGAAGATCTCCCCAAAAATATCAAAATACAAGAATCTCATAGTGAAAATCTAAAAAAATTATGGTTGGGTCCTTGGATTTGATTGGAAAAAGGTTCAGAGTGAATAATTTAGGGATCCCTGGCAGCCGAAGTTTTAAAGAAATACAAAAATTGTTCAGTCAAGTACAGCTTAGGTCTTACCTATGTAAAATATATGTGTCTTTAAGTTTATTTTCATTTATTTTACATCAATTAAAATTGTCGAGATAGCGTTTCTGACCTTTTAATATTAATAATTATTATTATGATTTTATTTTAGTTATTTTTATTGCCTTATATAAGAAATAGTTAAATTAATAAAAGTAAAAATATTCCAGAAAACTAAAGCGAAACTTTTAGATAGTATTATATTTAAAGTAGTCACTAGTTTACAATTATTATTATGGCGGCCATGTTCAAGTAATTTTCTCAGCTGCGTTTTTCATAATTATATTTGTATATTTATTTCTACACAATTAACTCTATTGTCGCATGCAAGGAAGAATTTTATGTTTAATCATTAGAATATAATTAATCATTAAAAATAAAATAGCCAATAAATACTAATCCAAATCCAAATAAAAAATAAAAAAAATTATTAAGAATCTGATCTCCCTTATTTACTAATGAGGTATTCCGTTGTTATAGTAACAAGAACCAAGTTCGCTTAGTGGTACTGCTTAATGTTTCCTGTTACTAAAACAGCGGAAAATCTCATTATTGCAAATAGGGTGGGGAAACTATGCGTTACCGATAAATATATAATCTCTCATTGTGTTTTATATCATACCGTTCGTTTAAAACATCTCGAAAAAAAATCATTCGAGAGTTTTGGTGTCAGATTTGCCCAGCTTCATTATTCTTTTGGCTATAATAAATCGTAGTTTAGGTCGCCACAAGTTTTTATAAAGCAATGAATTTAATTTTCTTGATATTATAACTTCTAAATAATTTCAGAAATTGAAATGATAATATGAAAAACCCATATTTATTTTCATTGTTTTATTTGAAATAAGTTTTATTTAAATTTTATTTAATTTTTTTTTTTCAGTTTTTATTTTCACTTTGTTTTATTTGAAGAATAAAACCAGAGAATAGCTTGTCTCGTCTGCTACATTATCCTTTAGGTTATGTTAAGCTCCAGCTTAGGGTCCCCCTGAGTTTTTATTTTTTATTTTCAAGTTTTTTTTTTTCAGGTTTTATTTTCACTTTGTTTTGTTTGAAGAATAATATGACAGAATGAGTTACATAAACTGAATATATCAAAATGACAAACTCATATTCAAGAGTCTTGGTGTCAGATTAGCTCAGCTTCATTATCCTTTAGGCTATGTTAAGCTGCAGCTTAGGGCCTCTTAAGCTTTTATTCTTTATTTTTTACGTTTTTTTTTCCAGGTTTTATTTTCACTTTGTTTTATTTGAAGAGTAAAACTACAGAATGAGTTACATAAACTGAATATATCAAGATGGAAAACTCATATTTATTTCGATTGTTTTATTGTTAAAATGTTGGTTATAAACATCTATTTTTTACGACGTTTGTGTAGAAAAATGTGCTAATTTGGTTTGTAACAATCAGTAAAATATGTGTATTTCTTAAAGAGTATTTTTATTGACAAACAAAAGATATTTTAGTTTATTTAAAGAATTTGCAATAAGTTTACTTCAAACTATGTAAATGTCGTTAAAAATATATCACAAGTAAAAAAAATATTGAAGACGGATTCCGAGTGAGTTCAAGGGTGGTTCCATCTGAGCTGGGGTTGAGGGTGGGGCGTAATTTAATTAGACGAGGCGCCCCGAAAGGTCATAATCCGGTCCTGCTCGTCAGCCAGGAAATGTTATCATCGATGTTCATTTCACTTTCGGATAATCGAAGTCAGGATTATGGATGTCCGGATAATCGATGTTTCGCGGATAGAGTTCAGTCTCACCAAGTATCAGTGAATTCCACAGCCGTGACATACAGAAATACGTTCAGATAATTAAAAATCCCGGATAATTGAACAACTCACTCAGTTATGGGCCTTGCGTGATACACGCTTAGGCGATCATGTATCTTTCGATACATGACTGACGAGGCAGATATTTTTCCCGCAGTAGGTTGCCATTTCTTTCTGCCGTAGACCAGTTGCCATCTGTCAGTTATGTGCCATGCATGATACACGGTTAGGCGACCATGTATCTTTCAATACATGACTGACGAGGCAGATTTTTTCCCGCAGTAGGTTGCCATTTCTTTCTGCGGTAGACTAGATGCCATCCAAGGCTATCTGTCCTGCTACTTACCCATAGCTGGAGGGGGGGAGAAGAGGATTCGTATCTTTCCCAAGGGTATTAGCACGTAAGTAAATGTAATGGATTCGACTGGAATTCGAACTCGGCTCTGCGATTCCTCAATCCAAGCCGCTATCCATTACTCCACCGTGTCAGTTATGTGCCATGCATGATACACGGTTAGGCGATCATGTATCTTTCGAGCCATGACTGGCTATCGAACAGCTAAATTAGAGGAAAAGAACGTAGAAAAAAAGCCATTTTCTAAAATATGTTTTCATTTATATCATAAAATAACATTTTCGCATTTTTTGTTGATTTTTTATGAAGAAAATCTTACTTTTTGAGAGTCTCTGGTTCAAGAAAATTGAGTATAACAGATGTCTTTGCACGGAGAATTGGTGAAGTAACCGAAAATCCTTTCTTTCGTTGTCGTTAAAACCATAAATGTAAGGCACTATCAACTTTGTCGGGCATTCCCCTTTTCATGTATTTTTAAAACTTTGATGGATATTTGAATATTCCTAACACGCACTGGGTTCGCTTAAAGTTCTTCAAACTGGTCGCTTTTCAAAATATCGCCGACTGGTGGATTTAAATATATTTCCTACTAGTTTTCTTCCGCACCATGTCACAAACTTTTAATTTCTCCTCAACAGATAACCCTGTTTTGTTTTATCCTTCGAATTCGAGGCCATTTCAATTTCAAAGCGTAAGATCACAAACTTTGTAGTTTGTAGGGAAGCAATGAATCGGAAGGAAGTTCTACAGGCGGGAAGTGCAAGAAAAAACCCGGTTGGCGTAGAAGTGGCGGTTACATTTAACTATTTCAACAGTAAAAGGTTGGGACTTAGATGCCAATCTAGTAGCACGCTTAAATATATGTAATCAAGAAACCAGGGGAAAAAGCTTGTCAAAAGCAGTTGCCATGAAAATATTTATAGAAAAGAAAAAAGGGGAAGCCCCGTCACGTCGGCGAGAAAGTGACTGAAATCGAGATGCCAAGTGAGGATTAATTACATTGTAGATCCTTCTTTGGATTTTGTCAAGAAGTTCGAGATGAGTAGCAGGAGCATTAGACCAGATATGGCAACAGTATTCAATGCGCGGGCGAATGATAGATTTGTAAATGTACAAGATGTACTTTGATGAGAATAACCTTTTGGCACAACACAGTGACCCAACTTTCCTTGCAGTAGATGCAGCTATTGATTCGATGTAGTCTTTCTACTTCAAGTCAATTAAAAACGTGAAGCCAAGAAGGTGCAGTGTATTGTTCTCCGGAAGTCTAGCATCAGCCATGCTGATGATAGGCAGGAAAGTTAATAAATGGCGGTTGTATGAGAGCAGTTTCGTTTTAGAGGCATTAAAATTTACAAGCCGTTTCCTATGAGATAGTTGAAATTTCTAGGGGACTCTTTCCTCGAGGGCTTGGAAAATTTGTTACTCACGTGGTATGTTGAAGGAAAGAGGAACAAAGGAATGCAGTAAGTACTGTACCTAACGACCTTGTGTAAATGGTTGGCAGAACAGGGATTAGGAGAGATAGCAACAAAGACAAATTTTAATAATTATTATAGAGGACAGGAGGTTGTAGAGAACCATGATCCCCCATGTCCTAGAGTGAAACGCACATAGAAGAAGAAGAAGAAGAAGAAGAAGAAGGAGGAGAAGAAGAAGATGAAGAAGAAGAAGAAGGAGGAGAAGAAGATGAAGAAAAGAAGAAGAAAATGAATAATAATAATAATAATAATAATGATAATGATAATAATAATAATATGATGATGATGAAGAAGAAGGAGAAAAAGGAGAAGAAGATGAAGAAGAAGAAGAAGAAGGAGAAAAAGTAGAAGGAGATGAAGAAGAAGGAGAAGAAAATGAAGAAGAAGAAGAAAAAAGAGATGAAGAAGGAGAAGCAGAAGTAGAAGAAGAAGATGAAGAACAAGGATAATAATAATAATAATAATAATCATAATAATATGATGATGATGATGAAGAAGAAGGAGAAAAAGGAGAAGAAGATGGAGAAAAAGTAGAAGAAGAAGAAAATGAAGAAGGAGAAAAAAGGAAATGAAGAAGAAGAAGAAGAAGAAGAAGAAAATGAAGAACAAAGAGAAAAATAATAATAATAATAATAATAATAATAATAATAATATGATGATGATGATAATGAAGGAGGAAAAGGAAGAGAAGATGAAGATGAAGAAGAAGAAAGAGAAAAAGCAGAAGAAAATGAAGAAGAAGAAGAAGATGAAGAAGAAGAAAAAGAAGAAGATGATGAACAAGGATAATAATAATAATAATAATAATAATAATAATAGTAATAAGAATAATAATAATAATATGATGATGATGAAGAAGAAGGAGAAAAAGAAGAAGAAGGAGAAAAAGTAGAAGATGATAATGAAGAAGAAGGAGAAGAAAATGAAGACGAAGGAGAAAAAAGGAGATGAAAAAGGAAATGAAGAAGAAGGGGGAAGAGGAGGATGTGGAGGGGGAAAAGCAGAAGAAGATGAAAAAAAGAGGAATTCCTTTGAATTTTAGTGGTTTTGTCGCTTTTTGGAGATGAAATGAAGAAAAAAACGAAATTAAACAAAAAATCGAAATAAATTAAGTTAATAATTAACAAATTAAACTACAAATGGCTTCATAAACACAAATAAATGTAATCAACAAAAATAAGTGGTCAATAATAAATGATGAGTAAAAAGTCAACGAACACATAAGAGGAAATGCAGCTTGGAAAATTTAACATTCACTGGACTAATGAAAGCGCGTAGTAATTAGAGGTTGCAATCGGGAATTCCCGGGAATAAATTTCCCGAATAGTTATATTTATGTGTAAATCTACGTGCTTAATTCGAAAATAACAAAGTTTTGATAAAATCTACCTTTTTGGAGTTATCGACAATAAAAGTTCGGACTCATTCGCGTCGCGGCAACCATTACTGGCGTTATTTGCATATATTTGTTGCTGATAGATATTAACTTGTCCCGATTGTTACGCACACCATTAATGACTGCAGTGCCGTAGCCGACAACGACACGAATGAGTCCGAACTTTTATTGTCGATAATTCTAAAACGGTAGAATTTATAAAAAATTCTTTGTTATTTTCGAATTGCGCATGCAAATTTCGAATAAAAAATAACTGTTTGGGAAATTCTTATTAGATACTTAGCAGGGGGCTTAAAAAGCAAATTACCCGAAATTTCTTATAGAATCATTGGCATAAAGTAGTATAATTTTTTGAGGTTCTTTTTGATCCATTATCTACGGTATATATCGCGAAATATGGCAAATAAGGCCCCAAAACAGGTAGGTGTTTAACCTCCTATTATCGCCCACAACCCTCACAGCGACCGCGATTCACTTACAGCGCGGGTCGGCCATTTTGGGCCCTAAGGTCCGCGCTACAGCGTTGGATTCCTGTAGTAGGTTCAGTTGGGTACCGTCTATGAGAAAAAGAGCACAATGACGCAATTCACTTTGGAAAATTTGGAAACAGCATGCTGTACTGGTTGGCATTCGTGCCGGAAGCTTCCATACGAACATTTCAGATTGTTTGGGTGTCAACCTGAAGATGGTGATGTGGAATGAGTTGGATGAGTCTAATGCTGATTACGAAGGTACGGCAGCTCGGAATACTCACTCTGATCGTTCTGATAAGAAAATAATGTCTAAATCTGTTGGTGAGGATCTCAGACTCAACACGGAGGCCTACATCAAGTGCCTTGAGGAGGTAGTGCTGCCTTAAGTCAAGAGGGTGGCTGCTGGAAGATCCTATGTCTGACACTAGGACTCTGCACCATGTCACACAAGCAGGAGAACACATTCGTGGCTGTCAGACATTTTTGCGACCAGATAACCCCTTAGATCTGGACACCTAACTCTCAACCCCCTTGCTTGTTATGTGTGTGGCGCACTTGAGAGAGAGAGAGAGAGAGAGAGAGAGAGAGAGAGAGAGAGAGAGAGAGACCAACAAAATTCCTTGTAACACCAAATATGAATCGATTGTAAGAATTATGGTAGCATTCGTCAACTTAAACAGGGAGACCATTCAGAAGAGTTGCAGGAGATTTCGAAGTCATCTGGAGGTCGTACATGAAGCCAATGGCGATTTTATTGAATAAATTTAGTATTACGTTTTAGTATTTTGTTTAATTTTGGTAAATATATATGAACCGTAAGTGTCGTTTTTTAGGTAATTTACACGTCAATTTCTCCTTGTGTTTTCATTTTTCATGGAGGTGTTTTACGCGGTATTAATTTTTAGTTTTTGATTCTTAAGTCAGGTAAGTAAAAACTTGTTTTTTTAACATAAGTTCTGATGTCCAAACAAGTTTTATTCGCTTAATTTATCCACTGGGCCATGTATCAAAGGCGTTGGTTAGATCCAGTGACTAGACCCAAAGAGTTGTGAGTTCAATACCAGCCTACAGCAGTGGTGAATCAAAACTTGGAGAGTTAAGTGAAAGAGAAATAACTGAGACATCTGGGAGAGGCAGGGCATGTGGAACTAGAACAATCTACCCCGGTGGACGGAATAAAGGGTTCGATTCGAAATTCCAATCAACTGAAGAAGGCAGGAGCGTACAACGGCCGAAACGTTGTGAATATGGAAATGAAAATAAGGACAACAGTTCGAGCGTACAACGGCCGAAACGTTGTGAATATGGAAATTAAGATGGGGATAACAGTTCGAACAATGTAAATAATGTAAGTAATCATAATACCTCATCTCTGAGATCCATTTACCTGATGTAGGCCGGAACGTACAACGGTCGAAACGTTGTGAATATGGCAATGAAGATAGAGGTAACTGTTCGAACAATGTAAATAATGTAAGTAATCATAATACCTCATCTCTGAGATCCATTTACCTGATGTAGGCCGGAACGTACAACAGTCGAAACGTTGTGAATATGCCAATTAAGATGGGGATAACAGTTCGAACAATGTAAAAAAAATAATCATAATACCTCATCTCGGAGACATAGAAAAGTTTTGTTAAATTTGAGTTCTTCTCAGTGAGTTAAAATTCTAGAAGGAAATATAATACCAAAGAAAGAAAAAATAGTATAAAATAAAGTACCTTTTTACACGGGAGATGGTATCATTTAGTGTGTATAAAACATTTAATATGCATCAGTCAGTTATGCGCCATGCATGGTACACGCTTACGCAATCATGTATCGAAAGATACATGACTGACGAGGCAGATTTTTCAGGCAGTAAATTGCCATTTCTTTCTGCGGTAGACAAGTTTCCATCCAAGGCTATAGAACCCGGCCTGTCCTGCTAATCACCCATAGATGGGAGCAGGAGAAGAGAATTCATAAATTTTCCAAGGGTAGTAGCACTTGTAGTGGACCGTGGCTGTAATGTTGTCGGAGTAGAAGTAGAAGAAACATGTGGGTTCAGATTCTCCTGCTCGCCGGCCCAACTACATGAAAATGTTGGACTTGAATTAAGTCCAAAGAAGAAGGCAAAGAAAACAAACACAAGACCGATAATATATGTATACAAATATATATATTAATAATTACACGAAAACAGTTACAAAGGACAAAGTGTGTGTGTGTGTGAATTCTCTGTATGTACGTGTGTGTGTGTATTGTGCTTAGCGTGTTCCCAACACTTTGAGAAACGCTATCCCTTGTTAGCGCCTACATTTCGAGGTTGTAAGCTGAAAGCCTGAGGAAAAAGAGAGATTTACCTCCAGGTGTCGACGCGAAGGCCTGAGAGAGAAAGAGAAAGAGGCGAAGGGTCAGCGGCTATTTATAGCAGCGAAGAGCGACCCCTGGTGAAAGGGTTACGAAATGAAGGAGGAGTTAACTCTGACACACTTAAGTGAATGGCTCTGACTGGAATTTGAACTCGACTCTCAATCCGAGCCGTTAACCATTACTCCACCGTGCCAAACGCATATCAAACAATAACACGTATAAATGGTCGATAAATGTCTTTCCATCCACCCGTTACATACGACGTCACTTTGAACTGATTTCAGTTCTAAATCCAGCGATAAAAAATACAGGATTTAACTTACAAAATCTTGTGTATGATCCTGATAACACCTAGTTCTTGATAATGATTGAATGGTGGGGACTAAACAGCTCCAGCCCAGACACGGCAATATTACTGGATCTACAGAAAGTACTTGAAATGGTGTATTACTGCTTCATCTGGGTCCAAAAAGTACTTGCCTCCTTCTGCCAATCTTTATATTTGCAAGAGTCAGATTGGACCAAAAATAGAGTATTGCTACCACATCTGGACTGGAGCTGCACAGTCCTTCCTTTCTAGACTTGTCTGAGTTCAAAAACGTTTACGCGGCTTTGAGAAAGATGGCTTATTTTCTATTCTACAACCTCTCTTCCCAGAGACACTACATCCCAAGGCTATCGTTATTTCCAGTGACATATGTTCGGACAAGCTCCATTCGTTATTTCCATCACACCAGACCGTTACACCTAAGATCCGCTGTGCCGCATCCACAGGATCGAATCGTCCTCATTCCCTTCGTATTCCATTGATAAGAAGTTCCACTCAGATGATTCGAAAGAACAGCTACTTTGTGAAACAGACTTCACCAAAAAAATGCAATCTAAACCCTTTTAAATCGAGGATGAATCATGTCCCTCATATCTCCACAATCTTCACTTTTTGCTTCCTCCTCCTACGTCTATACAACACATTTCAGTCAAAAATCCTCTACCTTGAATGGCTCTTGGGACTTGTATTATGGGAACATTAGTAAAAAAAAGAAACAATATTCCGTCTGGGTTGTGCGGGAGATTGGCCAAAATCATCTCCCGAGCGGTTGTTTACGTATCCATCTGTCCAACGTTACGCTTGCAGATGTGAAGCTATGTACTTCTGCATTCGGTGGTCTGGAGTAACGTCAGGACTTTCTTGCACCTAACCTTCTTTGACGCACAGACAGCTATTAAAAAAAAACGACGAGCAGTCTTTGTGTATACCAGGTCAGAAATCAGAGTATATATTGATATGTGAATTCCAACAAGCACGAGCCAAGTACTACAAAAATACCGAACAAGGAGAATTTAATTGTTTGTAAAGATTGGCCTCTGGAATAAAATATAAGTTCACAATCTATTTCTGTACAGTTTCATTAGTTTAGGTAACGCATTTTGCGCCACTGTGGTCATCACTCTCTTCCATATCACCATTGTGGTTTCCAGTGACGTTCAAAGCAAAATAAAGCAATGCCGGTTCCTTTTACACCGGCGATGTTGAGGTTACCCCGTCCCTTCTTTAAAATGTTCCGCCGCCCATTAGTAAATCCGTTTACCTCCGTGTTGCAGTTCCTACACTCAGGCTGGTAACTGGCCGATGGCCGCTTGGCACAGCTGGGTTGGGGGGAGGCGTTCCCCTTCACCGTTCTGAAAGGGAATTACGACTACTCTCAGTTTAGCACACAGTTTTTACTCCGACATCCAATGTAAATATATGTGTTTATGGGTGTATCGTCAGTAGTAGTACCTTTGCAGTGAAGTGGTCGACCCAGCTTTATTCAGGTGAATTAGGATGCAGATAGGTAATGGTCCACGGCCCACATTTAACTCTCACGCATGGCTCTAAGAAGACGCATGGGCACTGAGATGGCGACACAACTGTACGCTTTATACTTGTAAAAGTCCTACAATCAGTTTTTAAGGAAAAAAGTTGATTGCAATTTATTTTTTATGCAAGTTGTATTCGAAAAAATGACTGCATTATAAATTATAATTATTACCAAAATTGTTAATACAATATTCCCTATTGTCGACCTCTAGTATAGAGCAAAGTTCTACGGATATTGTCGTATAACTCGCCATGAGATTACTCAATCATCAACTGAAGATTTCAGATCCATCAAAAATTTAAAATAGGAAAATCTATCTATCTAGATATCTATCTATCTATCTATCATTATTTCTGAGATGAGGTATTATGTACACTATTTACATTATTCGGGCTATTGTGCTCATCTTTGTCGCCATATTTATTACAACGTTTCGACCGTTGTACGCTCCGGCCTTCTTCAGGTGGTTGAAATGTCAAGCTGAACCCTTTATTTCGCTCACTGGGATAGACTGTTCTAGTTCAACGTAGCGTGTTTAATGCATGTCAGTTATCAGTTATCTCCTGTTAATTCCCCTCTCCACGTTCTCCACTGCCTTAACTGGGTATTGAACTCACACTCTTTGGGTCCTGTCACTGGCTCTAACCAACGTCTTTATCCCCTGTGCCATGAAACGTTGTAATAAATATGGCGACAAAGATGAGGACAATAGTCCGAATAATATAGATAGTGTACATAATACCTCATCTCAGAAATATAGACAGATACTGAAAGGCCGAAAC